AATTCCATTTTAAGAAAAGGAAAGTGGCCAGAAAACTGATGTGGTCTGTGATACCTCCCAGCAGCAGGTAGGTGGGAGCACCCGGCGGGCAGTGAGCCTGCAGCGCTGCGGGAGCAGCACGGGGAGGAGGGCGGCACCGGGTGCGGGTTGCAAGGGGAGCGAGCGAGCGCGCAGCGGCGCCAGCAAGCTCAGAGGGGCATTGAGTTGGCAGAGCCAGAGGCAGTGCTGCCTGGGGCTGAGGGGTGGCCGAGCTAAGTGGAAAAACCTTGCCATGCTGCACCTCCCTCCCCACCACTTCACTCTTTTTTCTTTTTTTCCATTCAAGTCCCTTTCTATCCTGTGACCCTTCCTAGTAGCCGTCACTGCTGAGGCCCATTTCTCCACCTCCCTGAGCACAGGCCAAGAGGCCTCTTAGTTGCCTGGTTTTCAGCCATCATCTCAGTGAGTGCCAGTGCCTGGAAGGAGGACCTTGACCACACTGAAGTAATGAGGCTGATGCTAGAGAGGGCATTGCTCACGCAGGCTTTGATGCAGCCAGTGCCCAGTGGAGAAGAGAGGATACAACCAGCCCGGGGTCCTGCCCCAAGTACCACAGCACACTGCCTGCTGCTTTCTTGGGGGGGGACATGTGATTGCCCCTCTGCACTATTTGACCTCCAGATCAGTACAAATGCCATGACTTCAGCAAGCGCACCCACATGGTAAGCACAGGACAGCTGCTGTAATGTTTGCAACGCTCTTGATGTCACTGTTGGGTTAAAGCCAATGGTCTATTATATAATTAGAGATTTTGTTTTTCACTGGAACAACGTCAAGGTTTCTCTCATCACTAGCTCACATTTATTCCCTGCACCAGGGACATGGAGAATGTGGAAGAAAATGGATCAGGGGAAGAGACAGGCCAGTCCCTACCAGACACTGACGACAAGGCCCACCTAACCAATGCTCAGCATTGGTGAGCATTGTGTGCTGGGAATACCTTTTCCTGGGGAGAAGAACAAGGTGAGTGCTTCCCAGTGCCCGGGGCTGCCTCCCTGCCCTCCTGCAGCATCCCCACTCCCCCCAGCTCCGCATGTCCCCCGCAGTGAAACACAACATTTCCTAAACACAATAATCATTCCTCTGCCTGCGTTAGTTTTTACATATCTGTGTTTTATTTCTTGTTCTGTTTGAAATGACCTGTACCACAAGAATACAATTTATTTATTTAACATTTTTTTTCTTTTAGGAGCAGATAATAGTTGATTAAAGTAGATACTGTTTATTTCACTGTCTATAACTCCCTGCATCTTTTTCACAGACTCTGTCTCTCTGGCTTCCCCATATAACCCAGCCACAAGAACAACAGAGTGGCCTTTGGCCATATGATTGATTATAGCTTGTGGATACAAAGTGGAAGCGCTTTTTCTCAGCTCCAATTGGTAAGAAAAGCTCAACAAGTTACATTCTAGGGTCTTTCTCAATGACGTTCCCCTCTAATAGCTGCTTTTACACTTTCCTGGTGCAGCATATTTTATTTTATATGTTTGTAATACTTTAAAAAATGATGACTTAGCTTATAAAGAGAAAAATAATGCCCCCTTAGCATGAACAATACTGCAAGAGTCTGATTGTTGTGGGGGAGTTTCCTGTAGCTTCACAGTTTTGCTGCAAGGTATAATGCCCAAGTTTCCCCAGAAACCCAGTTGTGTGTGGTATTTTACCCTTTTTTTTGATTGATCCCCATGAAATTTGTTTTGCATTGCAGGCCAGAGAATGCTGTTCGCAGAGAAGAATATGCCCAAAACAGAGGAGCAGGTCGCTTGGGAAGAATTGCCTTTTGTAGTTGCTGACAGGTATGTGGTTTGTTATCTGCACATGCAAATCAGGGGTTAGAGCTGCTTTTATTATAGATGCTGGATGTGGCCTACATCCTTATTCATTGTCACTGATACACTTACCTCTGCAGCTTTGCTTTGCTTTGTTTTTGGTCACAGCGCCCATTTGTGTCCCAAGGTTTGGACTTCACGATCTTTTTCCCACATAGGACTCTGGCGCTGTGACTTCTGTACTATGAATGAATGGTGCCCGAACCCCACTTCATAGTCCATGTCTCATTTTTTTGCATTCACAGCACATTTTGTAAGTGATTATGAACATTCAAAGACCTAAACAATTGCTGAAGCCCCATTTCTACTTTAAAGTGCAATGAGAGGACTGGACTGAGATAATTTTTCCCTTCTGTGCAAGCTCAGCTCACTGTCCAGCTGGCCATCCGTGCTCCTCAGCTCAGGCAGCATGACTGCTAGTGATGTGCAGCAGATCACAGTAACTGCATAGACACGCGTGTCATTACTGCACCTGCCTGACAGGTCAAAGAGACCTGAGCTGATTCCCAAGTTAAAATGGTACAAGCCTTTCATGGGTTAACTCAAGCCATGTGTTTCTGTCCCAGTTCCTGGGGAAGAGTTTACATTCCTTGCTTAAAGAGAGTAGTATATGCTGATTATTGCCTGGTCCAGTTCCCATCCAGTTTAGAAGAAATGCAACTAGAGCCTTCCAGGCCTGTTATCTACAAGTGATGGGGAATACCCAAATGAACTCCAAGGTTGCAACTATGACAGAGAAAGAGGGTCCCTTCTCCCTTCCTCAGCAAGTTTACACAGCTGTAGGTACTGATTATTTCCACCTAAGGAGAGGCAGGAGGACCTGTTAAAAAACAAGCTCCATGTCTTTATATTGTTTTTCTAAGGCAAGAGCAGCCTCTATACAATAACCCTACTCTAACCAGCCAGCAGTCACTGTGAGCTAAAGCTAACTCAGTAGCTCTCCTTCATAAGCATATTTTTACAGCTTCCTGTTCTAGAAAACAGGTTGACACTCAACTGCAAACAAGCTGGAAGAGTCTTTTTGTTTTGTTTTCCTAAATGATCCTAAACTTTCCTGTCAAGGCCCAAAAGCAGTAAGACTTGCTTCTCAAGGTCTTTTCAGCTGAGTTTGGGACAGCTATCTTTGCCCACCTACGAGGCAGAACAGGGCACTGTGTTAGGACTGGGCTGTGAGACTCAGCACTACAGTGGTGCAGTGAGTCCAGCTTACATCCTACAGCACAGCCCAGAATGTTCATGAGTATTTGTGCCTCAGCCAGAAAGACTTGCTAGGTTGCCACACACTGGTTGCCACTGCTGGCTCTGCAGTGCAGGTTTGCATTGCTCCTTGGCCCCTCTCAATCACAGATGGGTCTGGCAGTTGTGAGCACAGCCAAAAGCCTCTCCCTTTCTCCCCAGCTGCCTCTGGGAGGGAAGTGGGGGAGAAGCACAAGGACCTGTTCAAAGCACAAGGCTCCTGCAGCTTGTTCCTCTGTGAGTCTGTGAACAGTCACAGATCCCATGTGTCTCCTGGGAGACCCTTTGGTCTTTGTTGGTTTGCTAAGTGCCTGGAGCAAAGTTTTGGTCTTTCATCGAGTATAAAATGGGTGAGAATGGTAGGTCTGTGTGGTGTAAGGGTAACCTGGAGGACACTGAGCTGAGCTAGCTCAAGTACCAGAGTGAGTTGGCTACAAAAGCTAAGCATCAGCTTGCCCAGCCTCTCTGTTAGCAGCGGGTTTTTTTTCAGCCCTGCAGTGACACATTCTGCTCTGGTAGAGAATAAGCACCCAGCATCTCCCTGATCACACCACTCCACCTTTGTTTGGAAGGCTTCCTGCTAGGGGTAAGTCAGTCACTCATCTGCCACACTACTTTTCTTCTGGCTTGGCCAGGAAGGGATGGACATGGAGGGCAGCAGGGGAGAACCCATAGTGTGTTGCATCTCAAATCTAGATCAGAGGCTGTTTTTCCCCACTCCTGCCATGCCACTGACCACAAAACTGACGATATATTCAGCTTAGGCTGGCTCAGAATTGAGTGACCTAGAAAATAAAATCACTGAATGACAAGAGCCATTTTGTCAGTCACCCAGACTCTCCTCTGGCTCTTGGGAACACAGCACTTCTGTCTTAGACAGCAGCTGTAAACCAGGGCTCGGACATAGCAGGAAACTGCTTATGTGAGAGGTGTAAATAAACATTCTGCTACCTGTTCTCCCCCACATCCCACCTCAAGAGCAGGTCTACAGCTTTCTGTCAGAGAGAGAGGACCTCTGGCCAGGCTGGGGCTAGCCTAGCTCGGCTCATTTGCTGCCCTGCTGAGGCGAGGGGGATGCGGCAGGGGAGGGCGGTAGATGGGATCCACATGGCCCTCTACCTTACTGGCCCTAGGCTGCCACAAAATATGATCTCTGAGGTTCAGGAGCTGTCCCTTCCCTGCCAAAAAGTCCTTGATTCCTAGCTATCATTTGGCAATAATCCTAAATCCCTATGGTGGCAAAGAGCGATCATGTTATTGGCTGGGGGAATCTAGAAAAGCCCTGCTCTGGAGTGTATTTATACTTGGGCAGTGACAGTGCAGACAAAACCTCGTGTTCTCTCTCACAAGGAACAAGGTGAGTGGGGAATGGCACTCGGCTGAGCTGAAGAGGCAGGTCTCATACACAGCAGGGTGGAAAGTGTGGAAGAACTGTAGTTAGCACCACATAGGAGAGGATGCAGCGATCATCAAGTCAACCCAGCACTGAAGGATCATGTGAGGCTCTTTCCTCTTTCTCTGGCCATCTCGGAAAGGAGCCGTGCACTCTCTCAGGGACACACATCCTACCTCTTCAGGGGCCTGCGGGGGTTGTACATGGGAGGGGAGCAGCCCGGCGTAATGACTCGCTGTACAAGGGCACAGAATATCTTACACGGTCAGGAGCGGCTTTCCTGGCCAGAGGTGGGGCCTGTATGTACACGTGTTTGTTAGCTGCTGCTCGAGGAGCCTGGGAGGCAGCCAGTCTGTCTGCGAGGGGGCCAGCAGCGCACCCCTCTCCAGGAGCGCTTGCCCTAGTGTTAGAGCCAGAAAGGTGACAAAAAATAAAAAGGGAAAAGAAAAAGAAGAAAATAAAAAGGACCCTGGCTGCCTCCCTCGCTATGTGGCCCCTCACAACAGCAGCAGGTGAAGTTTATACGGACTCTGTTCTCCTCTTTCCTGCTTCGGTCCCCCCTCCCCCTCCAGCACTGGCGGAGGGAGCTGGGGAGCAGGCAGCCCCGGGGAGCGCTGAGCGCATCACTGCTCGGCGAGGCTGGACCCCAGTGACCGCCTGCACGAGTGCAAGAGCTTAGTCTGCTATTTCCCACAGAGAAAACAAACAAAAAAGAAAGAGAAACAAGTGAGCGATTAAAAGAGTTTCCCCCCTCCTGTACACGAGATTCTGCAGTCACGCCGACAGATAGACATTAAATAATTCTTCCATAATAAATGATTGGAGATAAAAGCCGGCGGCGACTGCTGCTGCTGCTGTTTGGATTGCTCCGTTGTCTGCATCTTTGTTTCTAGTTTGTTCCCCGGCCACTGATGGCTGGCACTGGGGCCGTCAGACCTTTGCCTCTAGCATTTCTAGGAAGAGTTTATGCATGGGAACCTTGCCCTGCAGTTTGATGCTGTAGAAATGCTGCACAGCTTTGGCGGCCGTCTGCCGCAGGAGAGGCAAGGTCAGGAGCAGCTTGCCTGCTCGCCGGGGCTCCTCGTTGCGCTGACTCAGCTCGTAGTCCTGCAGGGCTTCATGCAGGAGGTCCTGGAGTTTCTGCACTGCATCCATGTCCTCTATGTGCATGGAGTCTGGGGGGGAGGAAGAAGAAACAGCAAACAGCCAGATCAGATACAGGGGGGGAATATTTAGGCACCTGAAACGAAAGACCCTTTCCTTTCTGCCACACTAGCACCTTGCTGGGAGAGAGTAGCAGGTGCCGGTGCTGCTGCTGTGAAGCTCTCTGTCAGTTCTGCATGTTGGTGACAGGGAAGCAAGGCTCCCAGGCAGGTGAACCGTTGTGCCCTGCTTGGCTGGCAAGCCCAAGACGCCGCAGGGTTTCGGGGGGGCGGGTTGCGGCTCGGGGCCTTTGTGGCTTGAACATTCACTTGCCCTCCGTGCTCCTGCTGGGGGGAGTCACCCTGCGAGGGGCAGCAGCTGCTGTGCCGCCACTTGGGAGCAATCTCATTAAGAATAATTAACACTGCTATAGTGCTTCATCTGTCTAAACTACCTAATTGCTGTGCAGCTGCTCAGGGTGTCAGCAAGACAGAAAAGCCCCAGTAGGTCACAACCAGGGTGCCCAGGGGTGTTGCCAGCCCCACCTTTGTGCATATGCCCCTGTTTTCAGAGAGCACCAGCAGCTGCTCAGGGAGCAGCATCCTCCTGTTCTTTACAGAAAGCTGCACCTCTTGCAGCTACCCCTGCAAGGCCTCACGCCTTAGGCTGCCAGTTAGATTTCTACAAGCTGCCGGAGGGGCTAACAGGGTCTGTGAGGTTCACACAGACCCCTGGTGTTGCTCTGACACAAAGGCAGCTCACAGGGACCCAGTTTGGAGCTACGCCGGGGTACCCCAGGAGAACACGGCTGCCAAACTCCTAGGCAGGCTGGGGTGCTAAAGAAGCAGAGAGGTTAACAGGAGCACCAGCCGCGCACGCGGGCACTGGAGGGCTCGCTGCCTCTCCCTGTCTCTCGCACATGCTTTCTCTCTTTTTGCCGATTCCAGATCCTTTCCTACAATCCCAAAAGTCTCAAAGACGCTGTTACATTTTCCTCATTGTTCAGAGGCTTTTAATCAATATTGAGCCCACTGATCAATATCACTGAGCCCACTGACCGGCGGCAAACGGCCACTGCACTAAATGTGCACAGAGCTGTGCCTGTGCAGCTCCGCAGCCGGGCTCCGCAGCCTGGCTCAGCACAAACTGGGGGAATGGCTCCCGGGTCCGACAGCAGCAAAGGGGAGGGACACTGGTCTAAGTGCCCAAATTTCTCGAGATAGATTTGTCATTTCTGTAGAGAGCTCCAGACAAATTAGATGCTGTGAATTTCAAAAGAAAGATAAATGCTATTTATGATGCATGATTTATAAAGGATTACAACAGTCTGGAAAATATTATGCCTAGCATGGAAGCTAAGTTAGGAGCAATGCACTAAGTCTAGAATATTAAAGGGTTGTATTTCCAGGAGGCCTACTGGGTAAGGATGATTTTGTGTTGTATCCCAGGAAAAGAAACTTGGAAGAGGGTGGCCAGGTCATCCTAGTGCCAGAGCCAGCCTCACAGGCTGATTCAGAGAGGAGGGGAAGGAGATGCATGACACCAAATGAGACTTGCAGCTTCCCCAGCCAGGCAGCACCTCTGGAGAACTCGCACCATCCAGGAGTGGTGAATGGGGCTGGTTTCCTGCCAAGTTGCAGAGGTCATTTTGGAGCCTGGAAACATCAAGAGCTGCAGCTTGGATAGAAATGTTCTCCAGTCTTTCTGCTTAAGGCAGGAGACACAAGGGAGAAGTAGATAGAGCCCATTAGTGTGGTGAGACCTCAGTGGGTGCTGGCAGCACCAGGAAGCCAGCCATGCTCTACATGGAGCAGAGTGCTCTGCCCCTGGGTAGTGATGCTGCTGTACAGCAGATGAGGGCTAAAGCTGTGCCCCTCCTGTTACCTGACTGACTTCTGGAAGGTAGAGAGCTCCAAGAGCACTAAAAAAGCACTAAAAAAGCAGACATGGGGAGAAGAAATGGGAAACACAGATCAAGGCCTGCCCTGCCACCCCCCCCACTCTATGCTGAAAGGAATTCAAAATTGGCAGCTGACTGCGAGAAAAAATAAAATAACGTTGCAGGATTAATTTCCTTACAATCCATCAGTGAGCTGGTGTCGATGGCATTGATAAACTGTTAATTACAAAATCAATAGCTATGAATTTTTACAGCTGTCAGAGCAGTGAGGTGGAGGGAGGCTGCCTGGCCACATCCCTCGGGGTTCAGTGGCCTAGAAGGCGGGCCTCACACCAGCTGCCCTTTGCCAGCACTGGGGTGAAGACCAGGAGTGCGAATGGATAGGGTCTGCTGTCTCCCTTCCTAGCCCTTCCCTAGCAGCTTCTGGAAGCAGGAAACTAACAGAGCCCATTAGCACAGAATTTGCCATACATTCCCTGGCCTCATACAGGACTTGCTCAGTCCACCTCAGCATTAAAATGCATTGGCAAGACAAGGGGAATAAGGTTTGAGAAGTCTGAGATGTCTGGAGTACTAATGACAAGGGCTCTTCAACACACAGGTTGATCAAGTCGGTGTTCCTGAGGAAAGAGGATCTAAGATTTCCCCAAAAAAAAAAGGACTCTGAAGGATAAGAGAGTCTGTGGCATCCATCCTCCAGCAAAAAAAAAAAAAAAAAGGATGTTCACATTGTCAGGCCTTGTCTGCTGCTCTGGGCATTAAGATTTCTCAGCTCCCTAAAAAGCTCTTGGTAAAGAAAGACTTGCTTGAGTGTCAGCATGCATGTCCTTGATGCACTACAATGAAAACTTAGAGATCAACCACAGCTCTGGCAAGGTGGCATCTCCTCAGCAGCACTTGGCCTGATGTTAGCAACTTACCTAGACCATGTCTGTTTTCATTTGTTTTATTCCTTTTAAATCCTAGGAACAAAGGATCAGTATACACAGGACTACATAGGAGAGAGGAAAGTTCTGGGGAAGCTGGATTGCATAAACAATCCCATCCAGCAAGGACATGGGTTATTCAGGAATGTATCTGTATGAGAGGCAGAAAGCAGGTCTGGGCAACACAGGTGTTAATCTAAGCACTCAGCTTTAAACCACATCTTTGACTCAAGGGAGTTGAGATGTCACCCAGAGAAAGTCTGTGTTCCTACAGTTTTAGGAATCAGCTGTTTGCATGCAAGCACATACATGCAGGCTCTGCAGGTTTAATCCATTATCATAAGTTCTTTAAGAAAAGTAACTTATGTTAAAAGAATGTGAAGGTTAAACTAGGAAAATAGCAGCCCACCTTGTGAGGCTTCCTTCTGTGCATGGATTCTGACAGGCTTTAATTACATGAAAAATGAGATCTCTTGGTTTACTATCATATGTTTGAAAAAAAAAATGACCACGAAGATGGATTTTTTTGGGGGGGGATTATGCTCCCAGCTGCACTAGGACAAACCAGTGAAGGCCAAGTGGCTTTTCCCAGCCATCTGGGTGCAAGCTTTGGCCTGCGCCTCCTCACCCGGAGCTGCCAGCAGATCCCCAAAGCAGCTGATGAGTGTTGGGTGTTTTGCTCTTTCCTTGCTCAGAGTTTCTCTGCTCCTGATCTGGACTATTCCCACATGGCCTGCCCTGGGCTGATGCTGCCAGCACAGCGAGCAACGTCAGCAGAGAGACCTGCAAGGGACCTGACAGCACTGAGGTTCAGGCACTGCAGCATCTCCACTGAGCTCAAGGGCCAGGTAAATGTCCTTGCTTGTGGCACCTCACCTGTCACAACCAGTCCCCTTAGTGCTTCAGCCTCTTTGAGGAGCCCTTCTCCTTGTTTCATCCTGTGACCTTCCTGGTAGACAGAAGGCAGGTTCTTTAACAAGAGTTGATTACATAGCCAAAAGGTACCGTCCTGGAATCGAGAGAAAGGCCAGCCTTGGCTCTCTGCCCATCCTGGTTCAGTGGCAAAGTGAAGGCAGCAATTAGAACTAAAAAAGCAATATATGAGAAATTGAAAAAGGGAACAAGATAGCAATTTATATGAATCAGAAGTTATGAAGTGTAGAAAATCGATAAGGGAAGCAAAGGACACCAGAAGAAAATCCATGGCTGGAAAGGCTAAGGACAATAAAGAAGAGTTTTATAAATATTTAGGAAATAGAAGAAAAATGTCGAGCAGGTTCTTTTTGGTTGGAGATGATTGTTATTGTGGAGGAGACAGAAGTCCTCAAATGAGTACTTCTCGTTTTGTGTACAGAAAAGGAGTGTGATGTACCTCTGTTATATGAAGATGATGAAGACTTCTTAGTCTGTTGTTGATGCAAGAAGATGTTAAAGATGGTAGGGATAAACTTCACAGAAATCAGCAGACCTTGATAGCTTGGCTTTGAAAGTTCTGTAAGGCCAAGGACAAATTGTTTAACAACTCTAGGTATTTTTGAGAGTGAAAGACTGGAAAATATCTGATGAAGTTTCCTAGGTCCTGATGTGATACAGGAAGAAGTCAAGGAAAAAGAAATGTAATGTTCAATTAAGACCTTAAAAAAGGCTTTACGACTAATGCCAGTCAACACAATAGACTAGGGGTCTTGTCAAACAGACCCGATTGTATTCTCTGATGAGATTACAAGTTTGGTTGATAAAGTTAACTGCACAGATATAATGGACTTAGGCTTTTATAAGGCACTTGGCTTAGCACCACAGGACATTCTCATTAAAAAATTAGCACTATGCAGTATCAATAGAGCACACTTTCAATTGATTAGTAACTGGCTAGATGACAAATCTCAAAGTAGCCATCAGTGGTGAATCATCCCTGAAGGAGGAGTTTTCTACTGGAAATCCACAAGGATCAGTAAAAAAGAGAGATGCTACGCAACATTTTTATCAATGATCTGTACGTAATGTCTCTTTTTTTTCCTTTTTTTTTTTTTTTTTAATTGCTGCTCTCACAAGTAGAGATGACAAAAACAGAAAGGGGTGTTTTTGTATAGGGCAACCTCGCATAGCAATCAGTGTCCACTTGGCTACACCTTAAATAATCTAGAGCCAAGGAATGCAGCTATAAAACTGTACTTTTGTGCCAGCCTATCATATATGAATGGAAATGGGGTCACAGGACACAGCTTGGCAGAGACTCTCAGAATCCTGAGGCTGAATTCAGGCAAACTGACATTAGACATATGGATTTTTTTTCTTTAACGGAGGCAACAACTAATTAGAATCGGCTACAATGAAGGATGCAGATTCCCCATCTTTTAATGTCTCCAGCTTCACATGGGTGGGGTGTCTTTGTGGAAAACAGCTTTAGCCAGAGATCAGACCCACTGCTGGGGTGAGTTCTGTAGCCTGCATTGTGCAGGCTGGCCAGGAGCTCTGATGTACAGGGAACTCCAAGGGATGTAGAGGGAGCCCTTGTCACATAGTAGCTTTAGCAGTTTCCCTTTTGGAAAAGGCTCCTGAGCAAGACTGTATCTGGCTGTTGTGCGGCACCAGCGCAGCTCGCAGCACCTCTTGCTGCTCCCAAAGGATGCCCGACTGCAGGTCCCTGTGCTGTGACCCTCCTCCAGACCGAGACACAAGGCAGCGGACTGAGGGCCCTAACCCTCCTTATCCCCTTCACAGGAAGGCACAGAACACGCAAGCTTCTGCCACCACATCTTGTCTGCTGCCCACTCAGATCACTCTCAGACTCCCAGTTTTTCCAGTAGGCCTCAGTGTCTGTGATCTCTGAATGTCTCCAGGACTGGACCAGACAGCCCCAATCCCACAGATCTTGTGGGTTTTGAAACTGGGACCAGGCCTTCCCTATTTGATCTAACTGACCAACATCACTCATCTGAATCCAGACTTGGCTCACATCCCCTCCTCTCACGTGTAGGACTGGAACCTGCTCGCTAGTGGAGAACTCCACTGCTTTAGTGCCAGAAGCCAGCAGCCAGCCCATCTACACCTGGCCCTACACCTTCTTATGGGGCCGCTTTACTGCTGGGGCTCTAGAGGCAGCAAGCTTCACTTCTCCTTCCTTTCCAGCCTGGGTCTTGCTCTGTGGACTTAGAGAAGCTCTGGAGATGCCGCAGATGTGGGTTTCTGCCAGGCCAGCTGACATTGTGGGCTAACTCCCCAATCCCAAGGCTGATGGGGCAGGGCTGTACCTGAGTTGGCGAGGGCCAGGGCCTTGAGCGTGACAAACTCCTCCTTTTCCACCTTGAGCTTCTTGTAGCGACGCACCAGTTGCAGGATGGCCAGGTAGAGCTCCAGCAGCCCCGTCAGACGAGAGTGCTCTTCATCCATAATGTAGTCCTCAGCATAGACCAGCTTGTCCTCGTAGGGCAGGGAGCGGTACACAATGCCCAAGATGAGGATCTCCATCCAGGCACTCTGCAAGAGGCTCATCTGGTCCCCAAGGGACAGATTGGAGAACCCTGGTATGGCAAAGACAAGCAGGTCAGCAGGGTGTGCAGCAAAGCCTCTAGAAGCCCTCGGGCTTTATTTTACCTTGGGATTCCCCCCCAGCACTCTTCCCTTTGGTGTGCTGCTCTGGAAAAACTTACTAAAGTGGCCCTCATCTCTGTGGCAGTCAGCACAGGTGGCATTTGCTCTCTTCCTTGTTACCATGTCCACCTAGAGCCTCAAACACAAGGCCTGATGCTCTGGCTTTGTGCTTCTAGGACCCCCAAGGTTGGTGATACCCAGTTTTCCTGATTCATGCTCCTCAAGGTTAGTGATACTCTGTTTCCCTGAGTCATGCTTTTCTTACAGGAGCAAACTGCTTTGTACCACATCGTCCTGCCCTTGGTCGTCCTGTAGTCCCGTACTCCAGCAGTACTGCCTGCCCTACTTGGACTTCCCTTCCCCAGTGAACCAAAGAGCGTAAGAGAGCTCCAAATGGCAGGAAAAAAAAAAAAGGCTTCTGGAGAAAAATGCCACTGGCTTGAATGTCAAGCCTACCTCTCACTAGCCAAAGAGAGAAAAGGTCCTTCCCCAAAGAGCACTGAATGGCCAGAAACATGAACACAGTCCTCTTCTTCATCACTTCCTAAGCTCAACACCGACAGCCTTCTGCATCGCACAGCCAACAACCCTACACAATGTCAAAAACACGCCTGTGGTGTTAAACAAGTGCCTAAATCACACCCAGATGCCCTACCAGCAGAACCAGCACCCAGCACTAAGCTTGTGTCATACTCCTAATTACAGAAACAACCTGCAATCACACATGGACACTGGCAGCCCCAGAGCCCGGATAACACTGAGGAGAAAGAAGTGAGGCTGCAACCTGGACGCACTACCTAACCTGAGGGAAAAATAATGCATGGGGAGGAAAGGTCCTTCATGTCCTTAGGAGCAGGGATCCTAGAAGAGCAGCCCATGCAGGATCCTGGGAGGAAGGCCACTGTTCAGCAGACAGGGCTGCTGGGCACAGCGATGGGGACCTATCTCAGAGCCCCTGTGAAGCACCAAGAGCAGAGGCCGTGTTTGCTCTTGGGCAGCTCCCTGGGTCTAGAGCTTCCCGGGGCCCTGGGAGAACAGGACAGGCAGGTGCCTCGTAGCGGGGGCATCCTTCTCTCCAGTGCTTGCTGAGCCTTTGGGATTAGAGGCCTGTGCGGGCTCCTTAGCTTCTGCCCAGGGCCTCTCAACCCTGCCTAAGGTGTCCTAAGCTTGGCTGGACACCTTTATCCTACAGCCCTAACTGCTCACAGCACTGAGCCCTGTGTGGGGACCCAGGTAGCCAGCCACCATGGGGCTCCTTTGATTTCTCTTGTTATCAAGGTGGCAATTAACAAAAGAGCTGATGATTGCCATATTGACTGACTGTGGGCTCTCTTTTTCTATCTGCACCATCTCAGCTGGGGAAGGGAAGGCAGAAGGGTGGGTTAGTGGTATTTATTTATCACTGCGCCATGTTTTGTGTTTGTGTTGCCAGGGGAAGCAAAGGGTGATAATGGCCTGGCAGCCCTTGGACATCCAATTTCCCTTATCAGGCCACTGAATAGAAAAGAGGCCCCAGGCCACATTAATTAACAGATACCAATCAGCTGTCACGTGTTGTGTGTGCAAGGTCTGAGGGGAGCAGTGGGCGGGCGGGAGGAATCGATAAACCATTGGTGAGGAGTGCCAGAGGGAACAGCAAAGAGGGCTCCACGCTCCTGGGGAGAGGAGCTGCAAATGCAGCGGCAGCTCCATGAACGTGCGGCTCGTGCAGAGCACAGCGCCTGCTTCCCATACCCCGTGCTCCTAGATCCAGCCCTGCTGGAGCTGTGGGCGTGCGGAGACGTCTCCCTCAGCCTCAGCCCCTCTGCCTTCGCCTCTTAGCACTTCGATTGCTGCTCCTGCATGGAGCTCGCCTTAGCGAGTCCAAGCACAGGCTGATGCAACCCCAGGGTTCAAGATCCTGGCTCCCCGAGTCTCTCCCTTGCTGCCCAGGAAACCCGTGGGATTAGTCAAGAGGGAAAGTTAGGGGAAAACACACAGCTGCTGTCCCAGCTTCTGGCACCTGGAATCTCTCCTGTGCTGCCAACCAAAAGCAGTCCTTTGGTCACCTCTCTCCTAGCTCTTAGCTCCCCAGCCCTTGTCCTGAAAGGTGCTGAACACTCTACCACCATCCCGAGGCTCCCAAGAATGTACCGTGGAGCAGCACACAGCTGCAGGCAGGTTTCTGTCCTCCTCAGGTGCAGGCTGAGGAAAGCTGCTTTATTTACAAGAGCTGGTATGGCATTCAGATTTTATTTTTGTGTGTGATCTTTTTTTTTATTTTTTTTTTATTTCAATGGTTTGGCAGTGGGAGCTCCCAGAATTAAAAAAAAAAGCCACATAATTTGTGGCAAGTGGAGTTCATAATCTGTTAATTTATTATCATTTCTGTCATCCTGGAGGGCCATTAGCAGAGGTAATAAAGGGAGATGTAATTATAGGATCTGAGGCCACTCCAGACACAGCTGCTGTCACTCCACTTGCCATATTTCATTCTGTGCTAGTACTATCGTCTTCCTAGTGAGAACAGCACAACAGCTACCCTGGGAGAGCCTTCGTCATCACCCTCGAGAGCAGCCTTGTCTCCCTGCATCAAGGCACACAGAAAAGGTAGATGCTGTTCAAAGACAATTAGGACAGGGGGTGACTGCCTGGTGGTGAGGGGGCACAACTCCATGTGTCTAAAGCTAGAGTAAAGCTCAGTAGCTAGAGCTATTGAGCTCCAACATTTGCTGCACATCATTGATTTGTGCTCCCTGTTATCATGGGAGAGTGCCTTTAGGCTTAACTGACTTTATTTGTTAACACCGTGAGGCAGAAGTTTGTTCCGACACCTGGGATCCTGAAAAGTTGGTATCGCTCCTATGCCGCACTCTTCCTTACTAATTCCTGTGAGAACACGAGGCAGGGGTAGGTGACTTCTGTTCTTTCGTCCATGCTCCAGGTGTCTAAGAGTTCACGCACGCAGGAAGCAAAGGGTCCTGTTTCCCTCAAAATCTTTGAGAGAAAGAAATAGGGGACCTGTAGAATGTGGACACCTGACTCCTGGCCCGGCCCTGCTCCTGCCTGCTGCGGTGTGTTTGGTACACGTTTCCCTAGAGCAGGGGTGCATCTTTGTGACCTGTTTTCTGTTATGGTTGATTTTGGGTACCAGTCCCTGGCATAACCATCCCTGAGGCTATAGGACTGGGCTATTCCTGGCTTGCAGGAGCTTTGCTAGGAAAGGAAAATAGAGGAAAGTGAGATGATGGCAGTTCCTGCCTTTTCGCAGGAGACGACCCCCCCCTTCCTAGTGCAGGAGTTATGTCCCTATTCCCTCCTGCGCCTGGATAATTGCCATGATAGGCTGGAAAACTGCAGGAGCTGAGATGAGTAACCCACGTGCAACCCTCAGCTGCAAGCCAGGGAGGTGCAGCAGGAAGCACCAAGGCTGGGCCTGGCCTCGGCCCTGCGCTGTGTTAGGAGAGCAAGCCCGGCCCAGCTCCTCAGTGCCAGCCTAAGCCCCTGCGTGATGCATCAGCAGCGAGCTGTAATCCTGGCAGATCTCGTGTAAGAAGGGCACTGCTGTAATTAACCTCTACTTGGAAGCCCTGTCCCCAGAAAGTTTCTCCAAACTTGATGGTCCCACAACAGTGCAGGCCCTGCTCCACATAGCCAGGCAGCTACTAACCTTTGAATCCCTTCTGGCAAAGGCAGCCACCACCAAGGCAAGAGAGAGGCTACAGAAAGAAGCTAAATATAGGTGGGAGCTAGACTGTCTGATCACTAATGCTAAAACACTTCACAAATGAAGGAACTTAAAGCCAAGCAACAAAGCAAGTTCCCCTGACCCTAGGCAAGGACACCACTACAGGCTACGTGTCAGGTAACCCGCCTGGCCATTTGCAGCACAGTCCTGTCCCTGCTGGGGCCTTTATTCATCTACGAACGTAACAGGCGCAGGCTTTGCAGACGCAGTGTCCCCTGCCAAGCACTTTCTCTGAGCCACTCAATGCCTGGTTCAACTAATTACCGCAGCATCTCAGAGCCCACCACAGCAGCCCAGGCCCCACATGCTGCAGTCACCAATTTATGCACCTCCACCATGTGCTGTACTGCACTTTGTTACCAATGAGAGCTTACCACAAGCATTATTTTTTTTGTGACAGTAATTTCAACCCATCGTATTATGTCAGATTCCTGGCAGAAGACAAACCAATAGGCACCGTGATAACAGATCAGCTCCATTTACCATTCCCATTTAGGCCTTGTGGCTTCCCCCGTTTACCTGGGATGTGCTTTGCCCAGCCAATGATGACCACCAGCTCCCTGTCCGCCAGGTCACAGAGGGTTGTCAGGGCTTTGATGTCACTCTCGGGCATGGTTGGATCAGGCATGGCGTAGATCTTCTCTGGCTCTGCCACCAGCAAGTGCGAGACGATCTTAGTCACTGCACATTTCAAAGGAGAAGTTGTTGTTGTATCTCTCAGGACATGAGGTGCCATAGCAGCCCTTTCTAGAAGGGTCCTCCTGGCAGAAGACATGGCTAGAGAGGCCATGGGACCTCAGGAATGGTTTTGTTTGCAACAGGAGGAGACTACACTGCAGCTACAAAGGCTGCAGGAATCCTCCCGTGCCAATTCAGGTCTGCACAGGCAGGACTGACCCAGGAAGCTACTGTAAGGCTGTCAAGCACTAACTCACGCAGGTCCAATAACAACAGTAGGAGAAGGTGAGAAATGAATAATCAACTGGTGGCACTTGGAGAAGTTTAGAGACCTGTTGGTGATAGGGAAGAGAGAAATCAGCGCAGGGCCAGTTTGGCAAACATGGCTTAAGATGTAGGATAAGATCAGAAAAAAACACTGACTGAATTTATGTGGTCTCTTAGGAAATCCTTGGCATATAGCCTTAGGTACAAAAAAATGCAGTACCCAGGATATACCTCAGATATATTTCTTTTACCTACATACTCTCATCATAAGAAAAAGATCCTGGTGCTTGTGCCTGAAGCTGGAACCAGAAGTGACAACCAGTGCAGGGTGTGAGACCAACAATAAAAGGGAGCCGAGCGGCTGCTCAGAGGCCCGCGGTTCGAGACCGATACGTACGTGGCTTTTTAGCGGGCGGAGGGATCTGTAAGCTCAGGTAAGTGCTGCTCTCAGAATCCAGTCTCCTCTTGTACTTCTGGCGGCCTCCACGGACTCTATCCAGACGAACACCTGCAGGTGAAACGGGAGATAAATCCTCTTGATTCCTTGGTGTCAGGGGAACCTTGACGTTCAGATGCCAAGATTTGCTAAACAGTAAGTTCCCCACACTCCACACAGCCTTCCTCTCCCAAACACTTGAGAATCTCACCTGGACCTACCAATAAAGCCAGGTAGACTCCCTCCAGCTCTGGCAGTTCTAGCTTTCTTCAGAACATTAACAAAAACAAAAATTAACCCATTCAAACTCTTGTATCTGATGGGCAAATGAAAAGCTTCAGCCCTTGATGCCCTGTGGATAAGCTTGTTTTTAAAAAGAAAGACAAGAAAGGTCAATCAAACCTGCCGTTATAAAAACTGGTCTTAAAAATGAGATGTAGACTGTTCTTAAAAATGAGAAGTTAAATGTTCTGTGACCTTTCATTGTCTGTATTTGAAAAATGCCACCTATAGCAAATGGATTATGAAATATGAATACAACAAAGATTTTTTTTTTTTTTATCAAGTGAGGCAACTGTAATAAAAGTAGAACTCAAATAAATAGAAACAAGCTAGACAACAGTGATAAAATTGAACTAGGGAGACACTGAAGACTTTGTTGCAGCCTTTTCAAAATACAGTGAATGAAACTGCAAACAGCCCATCAAACAGTTCGCAGGGACTATCCCCATGTGGAAGACCATGGCAGCATCAATAACCTATTGAACAGGAACAGCAGTTGAACTGCTCTATCAGTACAAGATACAATATTAAAAATGAGTTGTGAAAAAAGCTCCTAGGTATTTGTCCTGTTGTCAGCTATTTCTAGCCGGCCATATGGTCTCTGGTAATCAGTTCCTGTGAAACTGGAAATAACTGAGTCTTGCGGAAGAAACAGCCATAAAAAAACCTGTAAATTAACATAACATGTAGTAATATTCAAATAAAACAAACATTGGAATCTGTGTATGAGTACTTCCTTAGAAAAATGCATGAGATCCTTGTCTGATCACAGGAACCAACTGTGTTATTCAATTACGAATCATGCTGAGCCATTAATATTTTGCAATCAATCCCCTGCATAAACACAAACAACTAAAAGCAAACACTCCGAGCTAATTTGAGCAATGCTTTTTGAACACGTACGTCCGAGAAGCTGCTGATCAATATTCCTCCCCAGGAAACACAGCACATCTCCAAGTTATCTGCCCATTTCAGAGCGGTGCCGCGTTCGCTGTGGCGCTTCTGCACGTCCCGCGACTGCAAGGAGCTCAGAGCAGCGCCCAGCTGCGCGCCACGAAGCCGCTGCCTCTCCTCCCTCCTCCACTAAACCGCAGCGTCCCTGGAAAAAGTTGTCCTCTTTCTGGCCTCTTTTAGCTCCTCGCCAGCAGGAGGGAGCCTCTGCGCAAGGCTCCATCTGGGAACCCCAACACGTTTCTGAGAGCCATTCCAGAAAGAGCAGCCAGGGAATCCCACACGGTACCCTCCATGGTACCTTACCACAAGGTATCCCCTAAGATAGCTAGGGATGTTCCCTGAGGAACAGCTTTAACAGTGTCCTGAATCAGGTAGGAGACCTTGATTTCCACCCTGCGATTCCTTCCTCTCTCTGAATATGCACCGGTTTCACAAGGACGCAGACGTCTGTGCCTCGCTCCGCTCAATGAGTGACACGGACGTCTAGCCAGGAACGTCTAGCCAGAGGGAGGCCTCAAATTCCAGAACACCAAGGAACCAGGTATAAAGATGAAAAGGGCCAGGAATGCCCCATTCCAATGCCATAGAGGAAAGATTTGCAGGATTTCAGTCCCGAATCACAGCTTCTCACACTCCCTGCAGAAGAAGGAAGGAAAATCCCCTCCGTGACGCCCGTGGGCAGGGTGTTACAGGGACAGGGAGCCAAGAGGGGCACGGAAGCCGTGGGGCAGGAAATGCTTCCCTGCTCCCAAAGGGAGAGCGCCAGGAGCGCCATCCCGCTGCTTGGCGGGCAGGGCCGCACAGGTTGCAGCAGTATTAGGGACCCTCAATCAGATTATAAGGACACAAAGGACTTAAGTGCATTAAAAATAGATAAGAGAGACGCAGGGAGATTTACCCTCCATCCCTCCTTCCTTTGCTGAGCAGATAGAGGTCTGTTTGCCCAAGGACTTTGGCTTGTTAATTTTGAACAAGTATCTGTCGTCCTCTCGCTCCCCATCCTGCGTGACACTCCTTGAGGCAAACGCTTTCAATCAGCTTTTGCAAAGCCCCCCTTGCACCCTGTCGTCCCCAGCCCGCTGCCAGGAGCCAGTGACCTCTGCACAGCGCGGCCGGTGCCGCTGCCGAATGTGACGACCCCCGGGTGCTCGGCCGAGACACCGCAGCTTTCAGGTCCCTACGGTGACACTTCAGAGACGAGTCCTTCTCCGAAGATCTCATGACCCAAAGGCATCTCATGACCCAAAGGGCACAGCCAAAATTTGGGATCGATACCGAGCGGTGGCTTTCAGGTGGCTTGTTACTGTCTGCTGCTTTGCTGTGATTTTTTGGGTGAACAACTTTAAGATACCCCAGGAGGATGGTTGCAATGCAGTTCTGTGCGGAACATGGACAGGGAGTGGGGAAGCACAGCGGGTGAGGCCAGAGAAACGGCACGGGGGAAAGCAGCAGGTAGAGATAGAAACAGAGGGAGATGCAAACCCCGATGGGGATGAATGGGAGGGCACGAGCAGAAGGGAGGGCAGAGGCAGGGCCTGGAGCAAGGGGCACGCGCTGCCCCAGCAGCCACCCCAGCCTTAGCTGCAAGGGGCAGTGCCTGCTTATGAGACGCATCCAGTCCTTACCTAGGTACCTCACACAGGATCAACATCTCAACATCAAGAGAAAGCAGTTGCCCTCCGTCTCATGCAAAAAAAGTGTTTTCACGTGTACCATAACTGGTCATTTCCCAGGAGAGAAGGTCCTCGTTTTGCAAAACTGTCACCACCATGGGCACGCCTGGAGCCCACTTCTTGGCCATGTCTCCAGAGAAACAGGGACTGCCACAGCAGCAGAGCAGTGAGGGCTGCTGCTTTCACACTGGGAGTTACAGTGAGTACAGGAGAAAATGCAAGGAATAACATCCCCTGCGAACCCACCTGCAGGTAATTTGGAAGGAAATGCTGTTTGTTCAGAGCTGTCACATCCCGGGGGACCCCCACATAGGTGCCTGCCACCCAGCTCACCTCGGCCCCACAGCTGGTCCCTGGCACATGTAGTATTGAGGGCCAAGAGCCCTGCAGGGCCCTCTCAGCTCCCACCAGGAGCAACGGGCAGGAGGGCAGGGGCAGGACTCGAGCAGGACCTTCCAGCCCAGTATCCTACCTGCGACAGGGCTGTCAGTTTTCCAAGTGTCCTGCTGGTGCCACTCGTGTTCCAGGTGCTCTTGCAGGGGCGCCTGTGCCAGCACGAAGCCTCTGCAGTGGGAGAGCTGATCTGCTGATCTGTTCAAGCTCCCTGAATCTCTCTGACGTGCCCCTAAGAGAGACATCTGCCCAACAAGTTTGGGATCAGATGTCCCCTTGCTGACTTGATAACATCAGGCTTTGGGGTTTTTTTTTCTTAATGGAAGTAAAATAATTCCAGCTTTTTTTAAAAGTTGGACCCAGGCCCAGTCTGTCGGAAGTAAAAATAGCCGAGTATGCAGAGGCGACAGCACACAGGGCCAGGTTTAGTTTCTCTTTTATTTTCTGGGGACTAAAAATACCCTTAAAAGCTCTGTGAAGCTAAAGCCTGGCCAGTGGGAAATGCAGTCTAGGCCCAATATCAGCTGTCGTGTCGAATTACTAGCCTCACCTCACTTTCCATCGAGTCCTGTCACATGCTCATGAATTGATAGGAACAGAAAGATCCATCTCGCCAGGAGAGCTGGCAGAGGAGCCAGGCTCGCCCGGTGTCCAGCCTGGGAAGGACACAACGCAAGGGAACGCAGGGCAAGGGCTCCCTGTGTCCCCCTGGACACACCAGCCACGTCCTACACCTGCTGTCCCCGTACGTGCAGCCAGTGCAGCAGTGCAGCCTGCTCGCTCCCCTGGTCTGCGGGCAACAGCGGTGCCCCCTGCCCCAGCAGCTGCAGTCCGGTGTACACAGGCTGGCCCTGCCAAAGGAAGCTGGATGGGGTGGGCAGAGAGCCGGGAAGAGGAGAAGGGAGAAGGGTTGTGCCTGAAGTGTCACGAGAATTCCCCTCTCCCGCTGACACTGAACTCCGGCAGGATGTGGCAACGGGACAAGTGAGCTGGAGGGAGCTATGTTAAGGAAATGGATGGTCAAAGGGAGCATGAAAGTTGGGTTTGCCAAGAAGAGAGAAGAAATAGGTTACAGGAAAACAATAAATCCGTGTCTAATGAGAAGATGAAGAGGTCGCAACTTAACCAGGCCTTTTCTTGTTACTCTGAGATTCCAGCATGGGAAAAGACACAACACATGTCAGTCTCTGGAAAATCTCCTGGTAGGTGGCTGCTGTAAATCCCTTTGTCATTTGTACTCTAGGAAAGCATCTGGCCTAGAAAACCCCTGAGACCAGCAGGGTACAGACCGGCTCACTGAGGGGTGACTCCTGCAATGGAAGGGCAGCGAAAGAGCCTGGGGAACTCCCACGGCAATTCCACGGCAGTGGAGCTGGGAAATCCATCTCTGATCCCCTCACTCACCTCAAATTCCAGCCTCCTGGGAAAACCAGATGTTAAGAAGGGCTCTGGGGCAGATGGGAATAAAAAAGTCCTGCTTATCTTGTTTAGCTCTTTGTGATAACAACCCAAAACTCACCTTATGTTTATAGTTTATCCATATTATAACCCAGCCCTCTAACCGTCTGAGCAGGACGGGAGCTCTACTGGCTGCATCACCCATGATGACGGTACCTGCAGCAGGCTGGTGGCTGCCACGTGAGAGCAGAAGACAGGCACAGGTCTGGCAGGAAAAGGCTGTTGCCAGGATGACTTTTGCAAAAGAATCTAAAGGACACCCAAGCGCCAGAGCCACCATCTTTCCAAGAGCTGGTGCTCTGACCTAAATAA